TACACAGTAAACTCTACCATTTGTAAACAAAAAGAGAGAAATCTGTTACACAGTAAACTCTACCATTTGTTAACAAAACAAAAAAAGAGAAATCCGTTACACAGTAAACTCTACCATTTGTTAACAAAACAAAAAATGAGAAATCAGTTACACAGTAAACTCTACCATTTGTTAACAAAACAAAAAAAGAGAAATCCGTTACACAGTAAACTCTACCATTTGTTAAGAAAACAAAAAAAGAGAAATCCGTTACACAGTAAACTCTACCATTTGTTAACAAAACAAAAAAAAGAGAAATCTGTTACACAGTAAACTCTACCATTTGTTAAGAAAACAAAAAAAAAGAAATCCGTTACACAGAAAACTCTACCATTTATTAACAAACCAAAGAGAAATATGTTACTCACTTGACTCCACAATTTCTTAACAAGACAGAAAAATAAAAATACGTTACAGAAATGGCTTTATCCTTTCCCACATACCAGTCCCCCAGAGAGACAGCGGTAAGTTTACAGACTTACAACGCTAAAATCCGTGGTTAGATTCCCCGCAGTGGACACAGCAGATAGCCCAATTATGGCTTTGCTCTACACAAACAGACAAATAGAAACATGTCTGTCGTTTCTTAAAACAGTTAAAGATACAAACCTATTAGACAATTCTTCTCTAATCCGTGCTAAGATAGAGAAATACATGTACCTAGGTTGACGAATCTCTTTGGAAACATCTCTATAAGTAAATAAACATATAAGGAAAAGTGATGATTAAAAACTACATTGGATTAATAGATAACTTTATTCGCAGTTTTATACAACATAACCTTTGCTGTTCGTGAAATTCTAGACAATGAGTAATGTGTAGTACAGGGACTACGTTTGGAGCTGTAATTATTAGAGGAATAGTACTCACGGTCTATGAAACTCATCTCATGCCTTTATTACTAACAATGTTCCATTAGAGCCTCCGTACTTATCACAAACGATTGCCTCGTTTTAAATTTCGTTTCGTTATATAACAGCAATGTGTTGTGGTAAAAAGCGATGTATCATGGGAAAAATATTATAGATGCCCAAGATTTTTAAGCGAGTCTTGAATTTATTTGTTTTGTTTTTTTAATTTCAATACGCGACTAACAGTGTCTCGTAATAAATAAAATACTATGACGACGTTAGAAGTTTTAAAACGAGTTTTGAGTTGCTATTTGTTTGTTTTCTTTTCGTCACGTTACAACAACTCCTCGTGCTAAAAATCCTAAAATAACAAGTGAAAAGTACCTTTTAAACGGTTTGACAGCTCACGAACTTTTTTGCCTACGTGTAGAATAACCAATCCTTTCAGCCAGTAATTTGCTCTGATGACGTAACCATCAATAAGAATTGTAACCATAAAATTGAACTTAATGAATTATCACTAAAATGCCTGATACATCACCTGCTAAATAAATCTCAAGAGTTTTGGATTAGTTCTTGAAATATAAGAATTTTATCGTTGTGTTTTCTATCAATCACTGAAAGGAACAATGATTGGATTTATTGATTACATTAACTGAATGTTCTAGTTGTGTGCCATACAATTCGTACTCGCCGCTATAGGTCGCTTTAAAACAGATTGGTATAATAATAATAATATTGGAATAACTAGATTTCACAACGAAAGGATAAAAAAACATAATAATAAAAATATGAAAATCCAAATATACGGGAAATTCTTAATGTAAGCGGCTAAGGAAATATTTATCATCATCTCAATACGAGGAAATATATATTAATCGCGATTACTAATTACTTGGATTTAAAATTTATAATACTAATGTAATCCACTGGGAAGACTAGTTATATTTTATTCCATTAGGTTTTCTGAACCTTCGATTTACGAGCTAGGCTAAGAACATTACCACGTTATTTGATTACTTTTTTCACTCTCCCCCCCCCCCCCCACCCACACACACAAAACGAAAACCACTGAACAACCATGTAGCACAGCACCCAGCTATAATAGAATATGATGGGAGAATTCCAATTTACTTTTTTCTTATTGTGTGGCCAATGTGGCAGGTGTGTGACTAGTATAACGGTTGTGTGACTAGCATGGCAGGTATGTGATCAGTATGACATGTGTGCGACTAGTATGACAAGTATGGACCAGTATGACAAGTGTGTGATAAGTATGACATGTGTGTAACCAATATTACATATATGTGATCAGTATGACATGTATGTGACCAGTATGACAGCAGGTGTGTGACCAGTATGGCATGTGTGTGACCAGTATGGCATGTATATTACCAGTATGACAGCATGTGTGTGACCAGTATGTCAGCAGGTGTGTTAACAGTATGGCAAGTATATTACCAGTATGACAGCCTGTGTGTGACCAGTATGGCATGTATATTACCAGTATGACAGCATGTGTGTGACCAGTATGTCAGCAGGTGTGTGACCAGTATGGCATGTATGTTACCAGTATGACAGCAGGTGTGTGACCAGTGTGGCATGTATATTACCAGTATGGCCACAGGTGTGTGACCAGTATGGTAGCAGGTGTGTTACCAGTATGGCAGCATGTATATGACCAGTATTTCAGCCGGTGTGTTAACAGTATGGCCACAGGTGTGTGACCAGTATGACAGCATGTTTTTGACCAGTATGTCAGCAGGTGTGTTAACAGTATGGCCACAGGTGTATGACCAGTATGGAGGTTAGTATTCCAACTCCAGTCTTAGATGTAAGGTTCTCCAGTAGAACATCGAGAAGCTAGATGGAGTAAAAGTAATAGGACGAACAGTTCTAGGTTGAAAACCGTTTCAATTTTAAAGCCTTAATGCCGGAAATGAGGCCTCAAATGATCGAGGAAATCGGTGGTAAAACATGTAAAGACGACACGCCAAACAAAAATTACGTTTGCATTAGACGAGCGGCTCAGTCCAAAATAGTGGAAGGGGCACGCCCCCCCCCCTCCATTTATAACATTATTTTTAAAGCCAAGCATTGCGGAGTTCCTTTGTGAGAATATATATATCTAGCCAAAACACTTTATAAAAAAAGTTATTTTTTAATAGATGGCGCTGTCATTATTTGATCATATGATTGCTAATCTTAATAACTTTACAAGATGTTGAAGTGAAAAACAGGCTTAAACGGTATAAGAAATTCAATGCATCTTAGCATTGAAACTTGTGGCATTCCCCAGTACTATTTAATTTGTATAGAGTGGTATACGTGTATTGTATGTTCTCTTTTGTTTACTACCTGTATCGTTCTGTCAAGACAAGGATCAATAAATTAGCTATTTTATGGCTGATTTCATTTGTTATTCTATACCATACGTTAAACTGTTTTTTATGCGTGATGTTAGAGTGTTTAAAAATGTTCAAGAACATAGAGACTGAGTACACTATACCAAAAAAAGATTTTGGAGCTTCACCACGTCGTTACTTGCATGTCGCCACTTCCGGTCATGCTCTTTCTGACTGCTGTGGATCTTGAAAACAGCCCTTCAGCTTAGTCTCTATTCCAAAAGGCACTGTCATAAAGCTGTATGTCAAAAGCATACCACTACTCCCTGACCTTTCCATAATCCTTCTAGTGCAGTGTACGAGGGCGACGGTTTGCCAGCGCTAGTTTCAACAGTCCAGTCGCAAAGAAACCCATATACACACTGCATCTGGCGACTTGACCAATATGTATTTGTCTGGAATATCATGACTTGTCATTTCATTCTCCAGCTGCTTGAGGTACAGGGCGTCTGAACATCTATTTCGTGATATTGTAGAAGCAAGTTGTGTGCACGTGACCAGTGTCGCCTTTACAGTCGGAAATTATTCTTGATTAAGTTACGTACCGTTACCTGTTACCCCTTACCTTTATGTTCGTCGATTCCCACCTGTTACAAAAGCCTCACTTTACTGCTTGCTGCGGTTAGGGATGCGACTTGTTGTAAGTCCCTTTTTGGATGATTTCGATACCCTAAGTTGATTCATATTCCTTTGTTTTCCAGTGTCATTAAGTACGGCCAGGCATGACCTAGTGGTTAGGGTGTTCGAATCGCTATCAGCGGGTCGCGAGTTCGAACCCTATCACCGAATATCTCACCCTTTCAGCCGCGGGGCGTTATAACATAAAGCTCACTCCTACTATTAAATTAGGGTAGCCCAAGTATTGGTAATTGGTGGTGTTGACTAACTGCCTTACCTCTAGCCCGTCACCTATAAATTAGCGACGGCTATCGCAGATAGCTCTCGTGTACCTTTACACGAAATTCAACAAGAACAACAAAATACCATTAAGTACAAATGATATCTCCATCTTGGAAATTCTAAATCCCGGATCTGAACACATCTTGTGATTTTGGGTCGGAAAGGGCAGTTACATTTTCTTTCCAAAATAGATCAGTTTTCGGTGGCATCACACTACGTTAAACAGTGTCAAAATGTAGATCTGATAAATACTGTTCCACTTTATATCGACTGTGGTTGTCACGTGACGTGCTGATTCGCATATTCAAAGTTGGTTTAATATACCATACCCAACCCTCTGTAGTGGCACAAAACCGTTTATTGGCAATACTTGAGATTTGAAGAAAACTTCGTTCCTGTATATATATAGTCACAGTAGTGGTTCTTTTCTAACGTAATTGTTGTCACTAACGTAATTTTCTTTACTTATTAGGTTTTAAGTCCTGACTGTATTACTTTTCTATTATCAAAATAAATTTATGCGTTTTATTATATTATTTTAAACCAAAGTTCCTGTGCTAGTTCTCCGTTATCTTCGGTTTAAAAAAGTGTTGAATCTTGAAAAGAAATACATTGTTTTATTTTTGAATCAGAACATAAATAATTATGAAGTTTCGTTATCACACACACACACAAATCACACGTCAAGAATAGCCATACACAGCAACTCAAAAAAAGATGGTGGAATGTTATAAAAAAAAATTGTGGTTTAGAATGATGTTATCTCAAGCTGTTTCTCTCGTACTTTTACACGAAGTCATATTTCGTTTATTTTTGTCAAGTTATCCTAAATTATGAATTCAATATATCTGTAGCATAAACACAACCCAAAATTCTACTTCAGATAAAAAAAACTTCTGTCCATTGCCGAAGGGTAAATTTTCTTTTCTTCTGTACGAACTAATATATAGTTTCACCCCAGAGTATTAACAGGGGTTGCAATTGGACAATATGTTAATTTGTTTTGTTGTTAAGAGCATTGTTTTGCTCTACACAATGGGTTATCTGGGCGCTGCCCACCGCGAGTATAGAAACACAATTGTTAGAGTTATAGGCCCTTAGACTTACGACTGAGCCATTGGGGTAAAGGGAACACTGGTAATATGAATCTGGCTTTGGTACAGAGCTAAAATTTAAACTTAACGTTTGTGTAGTCGTAAGTAGTTTAGCTCCCCTCCCCAGTGGCACAGCGGTATGTCTGCGAAACTTTCAACGCTAGAAACCGTGTTTCGATACCCGTGGTGGGCAGAGCACACATAGCCCATTGTGTAGCTTTGTGCTTAACTTCAAACAAAGAAATAAACTAGTTTAGGAACTTTGATCATTAGTGCCAAGTAATTTCGAAAAAAAAATGTTCACTCATTGTGTTGAATTACTACCTCATGAGTATCATGTATTGCTGAATTACTAACCTATGTAGTTATAACACGCAAGGTATGTCAACCGAGAGCACGAGTTTTAAAAGTCAAGAATTAGTCGTAGCAACATTTTTATATTGGATAATATATCATTTGACATTTGGTCCTTTAAATGTATGTAATGTTCAACAATAAATCACTTAATTGTATAGTTATTTGGTTTTGGATGACTATAAGTGGTACATTTCGATATTCTGTGCCGGAAGTACACATGACTTGGACCGGAAATGACGGATAATTTTTCAAAGACATTGAAGTTGCCTGATGGACAAAATATTGTTTTAAAGTATCAAATGTATGTGTGTGTTTGTGTTTTGACTTGTTTGTCATTTGTTTTATTTTCCATGGATAATTCTTTCTTTATGGCTATAATTTAAAAAAATGAAAATATCGACTAAAATATAGAATACAAATAACTTTATCATAATTTTGTCGTGAGGTTTTTCAGTAATATTAATAGTTCATTGTTTGTTTTAGAGCAAAGTCACATTGGGTTATCTGCTGTGTCCACAGCGGGGAATTAAACCCCGGATTTTATTGAGCGAGTCATTCTTTGCTACAAAAACTAATACACCCTTGTGATGTAGGGTGATTTTGGCTTCCTTTAATTTAGTGAATAATTCAAAATTGGGCTAAGCGTGGCCCAGTGGCTAGTGTGCCGGACTGTGGAGCTGACGTTACATGGTTCGCTTTCCATCACCGCTACGAAAATAAAATAAAATCGGCTCCTACTTTTGGGTTTGTGTGTTATAAGAGCGAGAGTCAAATCCTATATTTCAGCCTGACAAGAGTATCTCCAGGGTTGGCGGTGATTGCTGTGGACAATCTGCTTTCCTTTTAGACTGTTAATTCAAAGTAATAAACGACCATGCGCAGACTGCCCTTTCTGAAGCTCTGCGCAAAAATTCGAAAACAAACATTATAAGTTCCTGTATAATGTAATTGTAATATAAGTTCTGAGACACTTCAATAAACCTTATTTTACTTATTTTCAAATACGAATTACGTATTCTTTAACTTTGATAACAAAATAATGTTCGCAGTAAACTTTTTGAACTGTAAAAACAACTTAATGCATGGGTTTTCGTTGTTATTTAATTATAGAATTCTAACTTACACTCTCAGAGCTTTTCAACTATATTGGAAACCTATAATATATTAGATTTATGGGTCGTTACCAGTATTGAGGAGTTTGAAATTCCTAAAAAAACAAAGCAATGGAAACTAAGATAATCCCACTAAACTTCCAACAGGATGATTTTTTGTGGTGTTTTGAGGATGTTTATACGTTATCCATGAATAATAGTTGTAGAATAGTATTAAAATACAAACGATGTGATGTTTATTTATTAATGTGCGATTAGTTTTCTTCATACAACAATAAATTTGGGACTTAAAACCGAAAATTCCAAAAGCATACTTTTTTTAGATTACGATAAACTTGAACACTCCTTAGTAAGCATTTAGAATATGAATATTTCCACGCAGGTCCTGTCCAAATCTCTGCTGTAAAATCATTGTGAATACTATTGTTCTAATGCGAAAAAACGAAACCTTTTACCTAACTAAACATACAGTAAGACTACTCGCTGTTTATAATCCGGAAAATGTTGTTTTTTTTTAAGTTTTGGTTTTTTTTTTTAGTTTGCTCTAAGTGGCCCGGCATGGCCAAGTGGTTAAGGTGCTCGACTCGCAATCTGAGGGTCGCGGGTTCGAATCCTTCTCACAGCAAACATGCTTGCCCTTTCAGCCGTGGGGGCGTTATAATGTGACGTTCAATCCCACTATTCGTTGGTAAAAGAGTAGCCAAGAGTTGGCGGTGGGTGGTGATGACTAGCTGCCTTCCCTCTAGTCTTACACTGCTAAATTAGGGACGGCTAGCGCAGATAGCCCTCGTGTAGCTTTGCGCGAAATTCAAAAACAAACAAACAAAGATGATTTAATTATAAATTATTTAATGAATTAATTACTTCTACAAACGGTAGGTTTATGTTCACATAGAACCAGGGGCGTCACTGGGTTTTTACAAGATTCGAGGCCCATGGGAATTTTTGGTGTTTCAGTATGATATCGATTATGGTTTTCTATTCTGATTTTTCAAGACACCAACTGGGGATTCGGTGTACGGTCCCCGTTTGCCAGCGCCTAGCGAGGCATCTGCATACAAGAGGTATATAGTCGTTATATTGAAGGCTTTTACTTATACACCACTATGTTTGTTTTCTGTTCATACCAAATGTTTTGTCTTTTTTTTTTTTTACATTTTGCAGTTGTTTCCAGTTTAAAATTGGTGGAACTACACGTTCCTGCTGGTGTTGCACGTGGCGCCCCCTTATGGTTGTATTGTGGCTATGACTTAGAAGGTGACGACTTGTATTCAGTGAAATGGTACAAAGACCATGTCGAGTTTTACCGCTTTCTTCCAAGTGACCATCCTCCTGGTCAGAAGTACGACTTGCAAGGAGTTTATATGGACGTAAGTGTGCACATAACGCTTCCATGATGTTTATTTTCTTAATATACTATTTTTTTTTATTTTAAAGGAAAACGTGGCTATAAAAATAATGTCCATTGAAAATGTAAAGATATGTTTTGTTGGGGGGAGCCTTCGGAACTGAACTTTATAAATAAATACAATTGAACGTCTGTAAACTTATCGCTCCCCCAACGGGGGGCCAAAAAAAGTCTTACCCAACTATCTATCTCATAATAAATTGGCAAGCAACGATTTATAAAGAAGTGATTTATTTGAGGGGGACATACTACGCGTTTCAACTGAACACTGGTCTGTTTTATTCTGAAGAATGTACATACGTACTCTCCAACACGCGTGAATTGAATTTTTTTTTCTATAAATATATATATATATTTTAATCACGAGCAAAAAATATCAAAGAATACTCTAGAGCTACCGGTTCGTGGGATTTCACGACAACAGACACATAAACAAGAACTGTTAGAATGTAAATCGTATGGTTTTTCGTTGCACATCCTTCTTAGTGGTCCACGACAGTTTAAGTAAGCAGTACTGCTCTCGAGTCTGAGAGGATAAATACATATATCATCATAACGTATATGTAGGAGCAGGACGTTTGTTGAAGTGGTAAACAAGAAAAGGTATTCCTGTGAGTCTAATATAATCTGATGTCAATTAACAGTAAGGATTCCCAATTGATGAATAAATACCTTCTAATCATTATACGTTTTTGTTTTGTAACTTTGCATACACCTGGTTAGCACGATATTTGAAATTAGGTACAATAATTAATGGGTTCATTTTTAGTTGTGATCTCTGTAGGTGGATTGCTTTGATCAGAAGTTAACGAAAATAACATCGAATGGAAAAGTATTTTAGAATCAATACTATGAAATTAGTATTGGTTTATTTATAAGGTTTGTCTAACAAATGTTATATTCTGCGTGTCAATCTATATTGGCACCTCCCTTTTCAGCTAGAAAGATCCAATCAAACTCACGTTTTCCTCACCGAGACAGACCTAAGAACGGAAGGCCTATATGAATGTGAAGTTTCAACAGAAGCGCCCTCGTACAGTACAGTACAAGCTGATAAAATATTAAAAATATACGGTGAGTTGTATTGATACTGCAAAATAAAATGATAGTCGATCAAGTGAACCCGAGAAATTCTTTTGTTAAATCATGTGGATTTGGATGTATTTACAAACTTTCTAAGTTGGTAAGCCGAAATGTCTGAATGAAAGGTCGCATTTTTTTTTTTTCATTCTTTCGATGCGGGCAAAGTAAACATACAAGGTCTTTCACAATAAGAATGAATCAAATGGTCGAATTCGATAAAGATTATTTAACTAATCTGAAGTTTTGAAGTTCTTGATCTTTTCGAGGTTTACTGTTTTGACGCATTTTCCAAAAACTTAAATTACATTAGTTGAATGGTGTCATAACGATAAATTTTATTTGTGTAGCTTTTCTGACTTTGAGAAGAGATCATATTTCCCTGAACAAACAAAACAAACTGTTAGACTAAAAGCAACAAAATAGTTGCTGTTACCTTAAAGCATTTTATCAATCGATTTCACTAACTATTTTTGTTGTTGTTATGGTGCTAGTTTTGCCACAAGAACCGCCTGATATCGAGGGTAATAAATCAAGCTATCGGATTGGGGAAGAGGTGAACATTACCTGTCGTTCGAAGCCATCGAAACCTGTCGCAAACCTGACCTGGCACATCAAAGGCAAAGAGGTGAAGCATCAATGTTTCCTAGTGACATATAGATTTCTTTAAATTACCATTCTTAATGACTCTGATAACAGGTAGAGGGAATTTGATAACTGCTCCCTTTACCGGCATCCACTATCATGCCCCTTTGAAAGGCTTGGAGATATTTTCTCTTATTAGACCGTCTGCACATCAGAGGCAAAGAGGTGAAGCAACAAAAAAGGTTGAAGTTACGTGTGAATTCAAATGTGGACAATTTTGATTGACATTCTACTTGCAATACAACCTTGTAGTGAAATCGGTGTAACACTATACGAAACTTTGTTTTCGTGTTTCAATAAAATTGCATGTTATTCCATTTATATTTATTTTGAAAGAAAAAGCTGCAACTGTTAAGAGTTTAAATACAAATTATGATATAAAACCCCAAAAAGGTGGCATAAAATGTATATGTCATTTAATTCTTGATGTGGCTAAACAAATACGAAAAATACTGTTCTGCCAAAAGTACCTTGCTTCTTGAACGTTTGGCATGGTCTGTAAAGGACCTCGATGGTTATAAATACAGGACCTGGGTTGGCCTAGTAGTTAGGGCACTCGACTCACAACCTACAGGTCGCTGGTTCGAATCCTTTCACCGAACATTCTCGCCCTTTAAACCATGAGGATGTTATAATGTTACGATCAATCCCACTACATTATTTGTTGGTAAAAAGGTAGTCCAAGAATTGGTGGTGGGTGGCGTTGACTACCTGCCTTCACTCCGGTTTATGCCCCCCCCCAGATGTGGTGGGTGGCGTTTGACTAGCTGCCTTCACTCCAGTTTATGCCCCCCCCCCGAATTGGTGGTGGGTGGCGTTGACTAGCTGCTTTCACTCCAGTTTATGCCCCCCCCCCAGTAGCACAGCGGTATGTCTGCGGACTTACGACGCTAGAAACCGGGGTTGCGATACCCCTATTGCAAGGGGCAAAGCACAGATAGCCTATTGTGTAGCTTTGTGCTAAAATACAAATAAACAAAAAACACTCTAGTTTATCACTTTAAAATTAGGAATGGCCAGCGTGTAGCTTTACGCGAAATTAAAAGAAGCAAACAAACAGAGCATATTATATAGTGTCAACATGTTGAAGATGTAAACATATTTTGAATTGTGCAAATCTGGAAGAAGAAAGTGCTGAAATAGTGGAATGTGCTTACATGTCCATACCAATAGGTCCCATGTTGCCCCAAAACATTATTTTACACAAATAGTCCCATATATCCCAATGCTTGTTCATTCGGTAACATATTTTGTATGTATTTAAGTACTCTCATAATACACTAATAAGTACTCTAATAATACACAGTGAATACACAACACATATAATATAATTAAGTAAGTCTAGCAGTAGGTGGCTGATTGCTAAACTTATAGTACATATCTATAGGAGAGGGGAACTTAGGCTCATCTCTATCATGTGTGATATAGCAATCAAGCGAATGTACACCGAGTGGTCACAAGTAAATTGACACCTAATGTTTCGTCATTTAACTGATTTATGCTAACTAATTTGTGTTCACAGAGCACTATATAAATGAAAATGGCCCGTACACTAATTATATTGTGCTACAACATGCCTAGAACTCAAGGTTCTCTCGAATTGTCAGATTTTGTTAGAGGAAGGATAGTTGGTCAAGCAGATGGTGGAATAAGTCAGCGGCAAATTTCGCAGAAATCCCGCTTTCGACATTCAACAGAATCATCGTGCAGTTCAGGAAACATGGCAAGGAAACAACTGAGCAGCGTCCTGGTCCATCGGAGAGGACAAAAAGGGCTGTCAAGAGGAGCATCGAAATGGATCCCAGATTAACGACTACAGAAGTGGCCAAAGTTGGTGGGATCAGCCCGAAATCTTATCAACAGATTCTCCACAGATTGGGTTATCGTTGCAGAGCAGCTAGACGGAAGCTCTTA